GCACTCCTAGTTATTTCTATTATCTGCTATGTCTACACTTGTGAATAATCATAACTGATACTTAAAATGATGCCTTGTCACCCTCCAAGGTTCTGCAGGTTCTTCCAAATCAAAGAGAGGCCACATAATGCCTAGTATTATTTGGGGGGTTAGCCTACATTTTATAATAATTATTTTAAAATTGGTAATCCATCTTTGGGCTCAATGATAGCTCTACTCTATAAATAATATTTATTAACTAGAATATTCCACTCTCTCAACAGAATTAATGTTCAGAGTTTATTGTACAACCAAAGCTAAAACTGAGGCGATGGGCTCTTGGAATGTAATCACCCATGATGAACCGTCCCACTGACCAACTCTTCAACTTTCTTTCTAGATGTAGGATCACCAGCGTGTTTCAATGCAACCTGAACATTTCAGAGAGGAGGGTCCTCATGAAGATCTTATATTTTTGTGGGATTCAGAGTCATTGTTCACTTAGCACTCCTATTTGCTCACTCTCTTCTACGTGCAATTGTTGAACTTGGGTTGGCTGTTGAGCCCTGGTGGAAGAATTCCCATCCTGCCTCAGAGCCTCTCCTTTAGGGACTTGGAAATGGAAGGTAGCACAGTTCCTTCTGGCCATCTGCCGGGCATGGGATGCCAGGTTGCTTGGGGTAAGTTCGACTAGCAATTTTAAAGAACTCTTCTGCAGCATCAAGAGCAATGAGACGGTCCTGCCAAAAAAATAGAACAAAACAAATAAATGTGGCCAAGATGGGAACACAGACATGTCAACGGGAAAATCAATCTAACGACAACAAAACTCACCTTGGAAATCATAAGGAGAGAGTAAAACATTTATTAACTTCTCAACAAATTCACAGACACACCTTAATCCTTTATTTACATTATCCAAAAACATTGCACCTGTCTTAGAGTCCATTCAAATTATTTTTCAGTCTTAGATTATATAAACGATACTTCTCATCTCTTGGACCTACAAATGGTTCAAAAAGCAGACTATACAATAGAATCAGCTGAAAAATACAGTCTCGAGCCAGAACCCAAGCCTCAGTGAGTCTAGGTGCAATCCAGAAATCTGAGTCTTTAAAGCTCTTCAGATGATTCTGATGCACAAGAAACCAGTGCATATAATGCCAGCATCACCCGCCACCTCATACTGCGGCACTGCTGCTTGTATTGGAATGGGGAATATAGTAATTCCACATTTAACATCATCGATAGATTCTTAGAAACTGCAACTTTAAGCCAAAGGACATATAACAAAACCAATTATTTTTTCCTCATTAACGTTATAACAACACGTTATTCAAAGACCTGCTGTATATTGTTTCACTTAAAATCACAGTCTCCAAGAACCTATCGATGCCGTTAAGCGAGGACTTACTGAATGTGGACTAATAGAAAAGGCAAAATGTAAAGCAAAATTAGGGCAGTTGACAAAAGGCATCCACTTACCACAACAAAGAGATATCTCTCTGAGAGCTCCCAACTTGTTGGAAAGATATTGGTCTCTTCAGCCAGTTTTAGCAACATCTCTCGAGCTTTCCTTGTGTTTTTGGAATCACTGATGGTGCTGAGTTTAGTCACTGCCAACAAAGAGTCTGCTTCCTTTTGGAACCCTAAAGTAGAAAAATTTGCCCCTCATGTAAAGTAGTCCCAAGGTAACGACTGTCCTGCAATATGGTCCCTGCAGGAGATTAAGAAGGGACCCCAATGTGGATTCTGTACGAACATCAGAAAACTGAAGCCAAAGGCACTACTCCATGTACTGCTGTCCAGCTGAATGTGACTCGTGGGGTCTTTAAATTCTCTTGATGTTTTTGCTTATTTAACTTTCTTTGTTACTTTTTCATTTGGAGCCTCAGATACTCATCCACTGGCTGCTTGCTACCATTACTTTGGTTTGAAGCCTTCTTTCCTGTCCTCCGTACTCTTCACTTTCTCCCGTTCCCAGAACTCCTACCTGCCTCCCAATCTGCAAAGTGGTCCTCTCCAGGATCTACTTCTCCAAGCCCATATTTCCTAGCTCAGGGTAATGTGGTCAGCTGCTGAAATTTACTTACCCAAAGGCGTAAAAGACTCAAAGACTTAAACCTGCTTAGAGTAGTTTACATTATAAGAAGGAGACTATTAGCTCACAACAATATTGAGTGAGCAAGGAGGGCAGAGGTCCCATCCTATCCCATTGTATCCCAACTAAGGCAACAGGGGCTAGCAATGTTGCACCCCATGTTCGAAAAGTCATGACGCCAGGGTGTCATGTTCTGTTTCCAAGCAGAAGGATTAAGGACTTCAAAGTTTAACCAATTCATTTTCTAAACATTAAAACAAGCTTATTTTCTGGCATGGGAGCCATGTTTACTGCATCACAATCCTGGTAGAATTAAGAAAAACCATTGCCATTAACCACTAACAATTAGGGTAGATTATCTCCTTTAATGTCATATGTATTTTTCCAACGTTGAAGCTTTTCTTTCTTTCACATCTTCTTAAATCTACACTGAGTTTTCCTGTTTAATTCTCCCAACCTGCCTCATCCTATAAAGCTATTATTAATTGGCCAATCACCCTCATCTAATTCAATCAATGTACAGTGCCAGAAAAGTAAATGGTAATGCCCACAGGACTGCACTGCCCTGCGTTGCCCTATACTGGGGACAGATGGAGTAACACATGGCAGAGTGTGTCCCCAAGACATACATGGGCTGGTGACAACAGAAGTATCAGATGTTTATGCTTGAGGATATAAGGGCAAGATTGGAAAAATAATTAGTCCACAGTAGCCTTAATTAGTAAATTACCGACATTCCTTTTATAAAAACCATGGTGGAGTAACTGAAGAGTAATGATCACAACTAGTTATTTTTACCATTTCATAATCTCTTTCAGACTCACCTAAATCTTCTAAAATGCGTTTCCATCTGTTTCTCACTTCCCTTCGAATCTGCCGCAAGGTATAGATATCATAGTTGAGTTTCTGCCACTCCTGTAGGAAAATAAAAATTCGGTTTTATTCATACCTTTTGGCCTAAACCTCCATCTCATTCCTAAACTTCATGTTGCTTAAACATGTGGTTCCTCTTTCATTAATCTTCAAAGCATGCCTAAAAGAAGAGAAGGAGCTGGATTCAATAAAGTTGATAGGAATATACTATCAGCTGCCATTTCTGGA